TTGAAGAAGAAAAATTTTAAAAAATGAAAATATTGAAGACAAAAATGCAGGTAGTATGTGATAAAGAAAGGAAATGGTAGAATGCTTAAAACAAAAGGAATGATACATGAATAAAAAAAAGGACATTATGCAGTTGATACTCAAAGAAACTACACCAAAATTATGAATTTATCATTAAGACTTAATTACACATTAAAAATAATAAGAACACAGAGAAATTTGACTCCTTTCTTTCTTATGCATTACTGATGATATTGAATAATTTTCAATAATATTAACCATATTAATCAAACAATAGAACGAAATAAATAAAAAATTAAAATGGGTAAAGGAATCAATCAAAATAGTTAAACTTTCAAAGTAAGTGAAAATATTAAAATTAAAAAAAGATAGTATGAAATTTGAAAAAATAATCTCTTCTCCATAAAAAAAATCTCTATGTTTATGTTAACAATAATTTTTTTCTACTTCACTGTCTTCTAACTAATTAAAAACAAAAAATTAATAAGGATTGCCAAAAGAATATAACAGAAAAATTAAAATTAATTTAGAAAAATACTATAGAAAAGATAGCAGTTATCATTATTATCTTTCTCTTTCATTTTCATCTTTGTCTTCTTTCTTTCATATCTTTCATTTCCTTCTCCAACATTTTTTTTCTCTCTCAATCTATCTAATGGGTAAAATATAAAATGGAGAGAGAAGATTTATTGGTTTAGAAACCGCATAGAAGTTATGAAAGATGAAGAGGAATAACTAACTAATAGAAAAATGTAATAAAATTAATTTATTAGGGACACAATTGGAAATAAAAAAGGCTACACCAAAAGTGTGTTTTGCCTTTATATATTGTTATAGATAAAAAAAAAAGGGCATTATGCAGTTGATACTCAAAGAAACTACACCAAAAATATTAATTTATCATTAAGACTTAATTACACATTAAAAATAATAAGAACACAGAAAAGTTTGACTCATTTCTTTCTTATGCATTACCGATGATATTGAATAATTTTCAATAATATTCATCATATTAATCAAACAATAGAACAAAATTAAAAAAAATTAAAAATGGGTAAAAGAATGAATCAAAATAGTTAAACTTTAAAAGTTAGTGAAAATATTAAAATTAAAAAAAATAGTATGAAAATTGGAAAAATAATTTCTTCTCCATAAAAAAAATCTCTATGTTTATGTTAACAACAATTTTTTTCTACTTCAGTGTCTTCTAACTAATTAAAAACAAAAAATTAATAAGGATTGCCAAAAGAATATAACAGAAAAATTAAAATTAATTTAGAAAAATACTATAGAAAAGATAGCAGTTATCATTATTATCTTTCTCTTTCATTTTCATCTTTGTCTTCTTTCTTTCATATCTTTCATTTGCTTCTCCAACATTTTTTTTCTCTCTCAATCTATCTAATGGGTAAAATATAAAATGGAGAGAGAAGATTTATTGGTTTAGAAACCGCATAGAAGTTATGAAAGGTGAAGAAGAATAACTAACTAATAAAAAAAATGTAATAAAATTAATTTATTAGGGACACAATTGGAAATAAAAAAGGCTACACCAAAAGTGTGTTTTGCCTTTATATATTGTTATAGATAAAAAAAAAAGACATTATGCAGTTGATACTCAAAGAAACTACACCAAAAATATTAATTTATCATTAAGACTTAATTACACATTAAAAATAATAAGAACACAGAAACATTTGACTCATTTCTTTCTTATGCATTACCGATGATATTGAATAATTTTCAATAATATTCATCATATTAATCAAACAATAGAACGAAATTAAAAAAAATTAAAAATGGGTAAAGGAATCAATCAAAATAGTTAAATTTTAAAAGTTAGTGAAAATATTAAAACTAAAAAAAGATAGTATGAAAATTGGAAAAATAATCTCTTCTCCATAAAAAAAATCTCTATGTTTATGTTAACAACAATTTTTTTCTACTTCACTATCTTCTAACTAATTAAAAAAAAAAATTAATAAGGATTGCCAAAAGAACATAACAGAAAAATTAAAATTAATTTAGAAAAATACTATAGAAAAGATAGAGTTATCATTATTATCTTTCTCTTTCATTTTCATCTTTGTCATCTTTCTTTCGTATCTTTCATTTGCTTCTCCAACATTGTTTTTCTCTCTCAATCTATCTAATGGGTAAAATATAAAATGGAGAGAGAAGATTTATTGATTTAGAAATCACATAGAAGTTATGAAAGATGAAGAAGAATAACTAACTAATAAAATTAATTTATTAGGGACACAATTGGAAATAAAAAAGGCTACACCAAAAGTGTGTTTTGCCTTTATATATTGTTATAGATTATAGATAAAAAAAAAAGGCATTATGCAGTTGATACTCTAAGAAACTACACCAAAAATATGAATTTATCATTAAGACTTAATTACACATTAAAAATAATAAGAACACAGAGAAATTTGACTCCTTTCTTTCTTATGCATTACCGATGATATTGAATAATTTTCAATAATATTCATCATATTAATCAAACAATAGAACGAAATTAAAAAAAATTAAAAATGGGTAAAAGAATGAATCAAAATAGTTAAACTTTAAAAATTAGTGAAAATATTAAAATTAAAAAAAATAGTATGAAAATTAGAAAAATAATCTCTTCTCCATAAAAAAAATCTCTATGTTTATGTTAAGAACAATTTTTTTCTACTTCACTATCTTCTAACTAATTAAAAAGAAAAAATTAATAAGGATTGCAAAAAAAACATAACAGAAAAATTAAAATTAATTTAGAAAAATACTATAGATAAAATAGCAGTTATCATTATTATCTTTCTCTTTCATTTTTATCTTTGTCTTCTTTCTTTCATATCTTTCATTTGCTTCTCCAACATTGTTTTTCTCTCTCAATCTATCTAATGGATAAAATATAAAATGGAGAGAGAAGATTTATTGGTTTAGAAACCGCATAGAAGTTGTGAAAGATGAAGAAGAATAGCTAACTAATAAAAAAATATAATAAAATTAATTTATTAGGGATATAATTGGAAATAAAAAAGGCTACACCAAAAGTGTGTTTTGCCTTTATATATTTTTATAGATGTTATAGATATAGATTATAGATAACAGTTAATAAAAAAAAGTTAATAAAAGAGAAGTTGATTTTTAAAATAAAAAACAAAAGGATATAATTGGAATAAAAATATGCTACACTAAATCTAAGTTTTCCCTTTATATATGTTATAGATTATAAATCATAGATATAGTTATAGATAACCGTTAATAAAAAAGAAATTAATAAAAGAGAAGTTAAATTTTAAAATAAAAAAAAAGGGTATAATTGGAATAAAAATAGGCAACACCAAATCTAAGTTTTCTCTTTATACATGTTATAAAATAGATTATAGATAAAAATAGGTTGCACCAAATCTAAATTTTTCATATATATATATATATATATATATATATATATATATATATATATATATATATATATATATATATATATATATATATATATATATATATATATATATATATATATATATATATATATATATATATATATATATATATATATATATATATATATATATATATATATATATATTACTAGTGTCTAGACGGGCCCGTCTGGACACTATATATATATATATATATATATATATATATATATATATATATATATATATATATATATATATATATATATATATATATATATATATATATATATATATATATATATATATATATATATATATATATATATATATATATATATTACTAGTGTCTAGACGGGCCCGTCTGGACGTTCTTTTCCTAAAGATTCTATCAAATAGAAATAGAGAACGAAGTAACTAGAAAAAAAAGAGATGGTTCAAATACTCCTTTTCTTTTTATAGGGATCATCTAAAAAGCAACGTGAATTCTATTCATACCGAAAGGCTGACATAGATGTTATGGGTCATTTTTTTTTCATGTATTCCATCTATCTCTAAAATTATTCTGTAAAGGAGCTGAATGAAACAAAAGTTTCACGTTCGGTTTTGAATTAGAGACGTTCACTGAAATAAAATAGATACTTTCTTTCACTATCATTTATAATAGTGAACGATTTCTCTATAAAAAATATGAACCGGGGTTCGAAGAAGGGGAAGGAGTCGGAGTCTACGACCCGAAACAGATAGAGCTAGAGCTAGAGCTAGACCTAATGGAGGAATTATTGGAAAACATACTTTGGGCTCCTAGACTGTGGCGCCCTTGGTGCTTTCTCTTTGACGAAGGGTCCAATGAATTGAGATTTCCCTATGGGGAAGGGTCATTTCAGGACAAAGATGATTATGATGAAAAGGGTCATGTGACTGTTTGTCCGTTTTTTTATAATAATTACACATGTAAAATATAAATTATATTATTATTTTTAATTAATTTTTATTTTATTATTTATTATTTTTAAAATAATAGTAGTAGACAATAGTCTAAAAGATAATAAAGTCTCACATAACTATTATTTGTTAAAAAGAGAAGTTAAGATTTAAAATAAAAACTGAAAAATATATATTTGAAAGAAAAAAAACTATACAAAAATCATGTTTTCCATTTTATATATAAATATAGAAGATTATAGATTATATGTTAGTTAACTAGATAATTTAAAAAATATATATAAAATATTTATCAAATACATTTGAGACAATAATATTTATCTATTAGGCTGGAACGGTGGTGGTTACATTTTCATTTTGATATTAGATTGCTGCAACTACTTCCATTCCATAACTGTATTTGGTAAGTATTTACTTTCTTTCTCCCATTGTCTTCAATGCGTTAGTGCCTCCCAAATTTTTATCAAAACAATCCTGCAATGATCCATCTTTTATGCCCAACCCTTTGTTTCATGTCACATTTTCTTCAACAATTTTCAATACAACATTTAGGGTTATATAAAAACTATAGCAATTTGATAATTATATCTTGATTTGGGTTTTATGCAGGAGAAGATGGATATACATAATCCTCAACATTTTGATCTGAATACTGGTGCAAAGATACCAGCAATTGGTCTTGGAACATGGAAAGCTTCTCCTGGTGTTGTTGGTGATGCTGTTGTTTCTGCAGTCAAGGTACTCTCTCTGCATTTTTGTGCCCTAATGTTTTGGTACTTTCATATTATATCAAAGTGATTGAATGCAATCACACATTTCGGTATTAGACATTAATACTTTTTGGATACCAGACACTCTTTCTATATGAATTGTGGGTGATTCTTCTGTGTTAATTTTTGCTTTGAACGAACGCGATTGAATGCAATCACATGTGTTGGTATTAGACATTAACATGTTTTGGACACCAGACACACTTCGATTTGAATTGTCAGTGATTCTTTGGTGCTAATTTTTGATTTGAATGAATTGCCTCAATGCTTTTGTTCAGGCTGGCTATAGACATATAGATTGTGCTCGGGTATATGATAATGAAAAAGAGGTAACCAAAATTTTAAAAGTTTATACTTAATGTTTGGAAATTTGTGTAGGGTTTTCTTTGGGATTTTTTTTATGCTAGGGAATTTGTAATTGATGCAGGTAGGGGAGGCATTGAAAACACTGTTTTCTACTGGGGTAGTAGGGCGTAGTGAAATGTTCATCACATCAAAGCTATGGTATTTGTTTGTACTAATTATTATACTCAAAGATTATTGATCTTGTTTTTTCCAAATCAAGCTTTTGATGTATTTCATTTATTAGTTGATTATAAAATATGAGCATTCAGAAGAGAATGAAAAGTGGACCATCAATTGACTCCTCTCCTCTGAATATTACTGTGTCACCGTCGTCACATTAGGACTTCTGTCATCAAATTAGTTTCTCAAAAGTATACAATTGTCACCAAATTCATCCCTGAAAAGGAATAAGTTGATGACACAATGGACTAATTTGTTGAAAAGATTGTATATCTAAGGACTATGGGGATCAACTTAGTGAAATAGATTATTTTGAAGACAAGTATGATGATATTTAATATTTGAGGGACTATCTTTGTTACAAAACTTTATAGGCAGGACAGTCTTTGATGGCGTGCAAGGCGGGCTACCGCACCGGGCACAAAATTTGTCATAGGAATACCGTTGCTAAATAGAGTCTATAAAATATTGCTACGGTTAAGTTGTGATTAAATAAGGTCTCTATTTGTTTTTCCATGGTGAAACTTCAGCTGACCTACACATGGTTACTTGAGAATTGAAAATAAAACTAAAGTTGAATTTTGGTATTTTACATTGCCCTGAAGAGTAGTGAATTATCTCCATACAGGGTTAGTGACTGTGCACCAGAAGATGTCTCAAAGGCACTGACAAAGACTCTAGAGGATCTGCAGCTTGACTACATCGATTTATATCTCGTACGGCTCTTGATTTTAAACTCGTCTTATAACACGATGCTGAAATTGACGATGATTGTATGAAAAAATTGATGCTTTTGATAGTAATTATTTTGTCACAGATACACTGGCCTTTTAGGACAAAGTCAGGATCAAGAGGTTGGGACCCTGAGGTGATGGCTCCTTTATGTCTTTCCGAGACATGGAATGCAATGGAAGGTTTATTCGCCTCAGGTCAGGCTCGCGCAATTGGTGTCAGCAACTTTTCAACTAAGAAGCTGCAAGACTTAATCAGATATGCTAAGGTTCCACCAGCAGTTAACCAAGTTGAATGCCATCCTGTTTGGCAACAACCTGCTCTTCATAATTTTTGCATGTCTACTGGTGTTCATCTCACAGTAATACTCTGACTAATGTAGATGATTTTTTTTGGTCCTGCATTTATGTATTTGAGATTCTTCTTTGCTTACATTTTGTTAACAACAAATGCTTATTTACAGGCATATTCTCCTCTAGGTTCTCCTGGATCATGGGTAAAGGGAGAAATCTTGAAGGAACCAATTTTGATTGAAATTGCTGAAAAACTTAACAAGTCTCCAGCACAAGTGGCTTTAAGATGGGGACTTCAAAGCGGTCACAGTGTTCTTCCAAAGAGTGTAAATGAATCAAGGATCAAAGAGAATCTTAGCTTATTTGATTGGTGTATTCCTCCAGAACTCTTCGCAAAATTCTCACAGATTCACCAGGTTTGATCAGTGCCATTGAAAACATAAAAATTAATCATTCTTGCGTTCACATGCATGCATCGAACATTCTTTTATTCGTTTGTTTGTTGTCTGGTACAGCAAAGGCTACTTAGAGGGGACTTTGCAGTTCATGAAACTTGTAGTCCATACAAAAGTCTTGAAGATTTGTGGGATGGAGAAATATGAAATGGTGATATGATTTCTCATGTTCTCCAATTGAAGAAGCTCAGGATGTATTCTGACATTGAAATATTATTTTCTAAATGTGATTTGAAGGAATGTCTTCTAAACATATCTATTATTTGAGTTTGGGTTGAATTCTTACTAGATTTATAACAGGTTATTAGCAACGGTTGTTTCATCTATAATTTAGCTTCTGTTTATTTCGTAATAATATTTGTTTACCTAAAATTTATATTAATTTTATTTGTTAGCATGAAGAAGATAGACTTTTAAAGTGAGGTATTGTGATTGAGAGAAGATAAGATGATAGTTAGAAATGTTGCATTTCATAAAATAATAAAAATAGTTCTTTTGACATTTTCTGTTTTTGGAAATGCAAGAGAATTGTTTATTTCAAATTAAATTAACTTAATGTTAGGAGGAGATTCTTCGCTTGGTTGCATAGATTCGTTGTACCAGAGCATAACTGAATTGGATGAAAATAAATATTTGATGATAAATGAAGTAAAGAACAGACTTGTTGATCCTTGCATTGCCCCACAGTTTAAGTCAAGCCAACAGATATTACACATATATGAACCACTGCTTCTTCGTATTATTGTTATTATCTACGTGATTCTATATATGGAGTTCATCATGTAACCTCTATAACTTCCAACATTAGACTATACAATATTCTAACTCATACAAGATTCAAATTAGTTGATCCCAAATCATCTGATAAGGAAGCTCAAGAAGGTTATGTCAAGGGACCATCACTGTTTATGGCTACAAATGATTTGGTTTTAGAACCTTTGTCTCCGACTTCAACTATTTCTCTACTCAATCGGTTAGAAACCCCTCCTAGTAATGTGACTGAAAAGGTCGTCTTCATTGGTGTCTAAGAGGCATGAACGACTATTCTATATTCCTATACATTGATGTACTTGCAAGTTATGTAGATATTGTGAGGGTCTTAGCATATTGAGAGCAGCTTTGACATCGACATCCACTCTAACAAATGGTCTCAGCCACCTTTTAACCCAAGCTCATAAGGAAGAGGAGTGAGTCGTATTGGATGGCGAATCAGTTTTGGTTTAGAACATATTCAATTGCGATTAATTTTATATTTATTATATTGCATCTGGTTGTAATTTTTTTGGCATATATCACAGTCAAATAATTGGCAAATAATATCAAAGTAAAGATTTGAATGACATTGTTCCTTTTGTAGTGGGATTGTTCTTATTTCAGTGATATTTAGCTGATTTTTTTTAACTGAATGGATAAACTTGTGATACAAAATGTTTTGAAGTATTTGATATATATTACTAATTTAATAATAATATAACGTCCTGTATAATATATATCTAAAATAATACTATACAAGTGTTTTATTTGATACTAACACCAATCATAAGTATCTATTGACATAATTTACATATATTCGACCATTTCTAAAACATAAAACAAAGTCTATGATAAAGACATGTAAATTATTCCAAAACAAAAAAACTAAGATCTGAGTACAATATCCATCATTGTACAAAAAACATAATACACAGCGGAATACACAAACTAGTCTTCTCTTGAAACATTCAAGTACAACTCCACTCATAAATAAACCTGCAAACAATAACTGAAAAACAACAACAATAGTGGGGTGAGATAATAATCTCAGTGAGTTTCCCTATCTTATGGATTCTCTCGACTTTAACAGGTTCTAACCAAAACCTAACTCAAGTCAAAAAGGAAGGGATGAGACTTTGAGTTCACAATCTCACACTATGTGGAAATATGTTACTTGACTTCCACAACTCACAGTATAACACTAATCATCAACTTACATTTGCTTCCCATTGGACTCGGTATGATACCTGTTGCACCCCAAAATTTGCCCAACTTTTTTCACCTAGCTTGTGTTTCATTTCATTCACATTAGCATTATCATTTGCATTTCATTGATAGGTATGCAGGAGATCAAGAGGTATGATTACCAATCAAGGGCTACACAAGACTTTGAAGCTAGCTGGGAGGCTTATTCAGGTGCTCAAGGGTTGATATCCTTGTCAGAGAAGTTGGAAGATCCTCAGAGAGAGTGGTTGAAACCAAGTGTGTAGGTCTCCTAACTTGAGAGGTGTGGAAAGCCATCAGATGATTCTGAAGCCATGAGGATGGACTTGAGGTCTTGAGAGAGCTCATGAGAAGTGTTGAAGATCACTTTGAGGTCTAGACAGGTCATTGTGCAAGATTAAGAAGCCTCAGCCATGATTGGTGCAGCTAGGGTTTGACTGGGTCAACCCTAGGTCAACTGATGATTTGAACAAGGTTGAGACCTAGTTCAAAGAGCCATGTGATAATGGATTGATACATTGAGATGTTATAAGGATGATTCCAAGGCTAACTCATCATGATTGAAGAGTTTGATAAGTTTCAAGCTAGGGTTTTTAAGGCTTGACGGTGTAAAATCCCCTAGTTTGACCCCTATCTTCAAGGCAATTTAACTCAAGATGTGATTGTTATCTCATCTTGCCCCCAACATGAATGTTGTATAGCATGATCTTAGCTTTAATTTGAGTGCTAGAAGTCCTTGATAGGATTTGTAGAACTCAAGTTATGACTTTGACAAGTTACAGGTCATCTGAGGTATGTGAATTTGGAGCTTGAAAGTTGTCCAACTTGCATGAAACTTTTTCCCTAGAAGGATGATTCCTATGAACTTTTGGTCAACATGAATGTTGTTCCTTATCCTCTTAGCTTTCTATAGAGTACTAGAAGTCCTTGATAGGATTTGTAGAACTCAAGTTATGGCTTTGACAAGTCAAGGGTATTTTGGTCATTTGGAGATTATAGGTCATTTCAATCATAAGGCCATAACTCCTATTTGCAAGCTTCAAATGGGAAAATGTTCAACATCAAACTTGTTCAAAATGATGTTTTAAGGCTAGCCAAGAGGTCATGAGAGCTTGGAATAGCTTGTTTCATAAAATCACAAAATGGCCTAAAATAAGGGTGAATTTCAAATGAACCAAAGATGGAAAGTGGGATTTTTTAATCTACATGTCCAAACCAAGCCATATGACATACCAATTTGATTTTAAAACACATTTTAAGAACATTGACATTGCCACAATTTTGAATTGAGGTTTAATTTGAGGACTTGCTTTGAAAAGTAGTTACTTACATCATAAGTAACAATTGCCAAACCAATGTGCAAGGCATGACCAAGGCTCCTTTCAATCCAAAAACTTTGATAATCTCATTTGGGGAGAATTTGGATGAAAGGCATGAGGAATACAAGCTGATGCAAGGACTTTTATGAGCATACCATGAGATTGGATTTTCAAGTGAAGTGAGATATTGAATTTCACATTAGAGTGATCTAGAACTTTCTAGATCATTCATTCATGTTCTATATATGATTTAGAAGTGGTTCAGAGTGAAGGTTGGTGAGAACTGAGAGAGGAGAGTGAGATTGCACTTTGAAATTTCACATTACAAATCAAGATCTGTTACAAGGTTAGAGGCCATTTCAGTCTAAGAAATTGATCTCAATAGCTTGCTCTGAGGTTGGTGATTGATCCCAGATCAAATTCAAGGCCATGTGGTGGAGGAATCGTGAAGTAGCCATTGGAGTTGGAAGCTTGCAACTCAGAATCGGTTTCAAGAATTCAAGGCGTTTTAATCCATTTGGTTGCATACAGAAGGTTGATTAGAGGCTAGTGAAGGATTCTGCAAGTTCTTGAGGGTTGATTTGAAGATTCAACCACTCTGTTTGCTCAAGTTTACCAAGTATGCAGTTCTTATCCCATGGCTTGATTTAGGTACAATCCAGAGGAATTATTGTGTTAGATGCATTGTAGATTGATGTAGGAAGGTTTTTGGATCATCAATTTGGAGGTTAGTGACCAATTAGGGTTGTTCCAATTTTCGGTTGAGATGGTGTTCTTGCGAATCTTGAGTTTTCAGAATGAATTAATGGCATGAATGGAATCCTGAGGAAATTTGGGACAAGATTCATCAAGGAATCGTGGCCAATGGTGGACTCTATAGAGAGTTAGGGTTGTGGAATGTTGATCGGAGAAGTCACCGGCGGTGACTCTAGCGCGCGCAGGTGGCCTGAGTTCAGAGATTCAAAAGGTTGAAGATGACTTGATAGCCATTAGATCCTAGGTGGACTTTGACTGAAGACCTCATCCAACGGCCACGCGTTAAAGAAAGTTTGTGAAGGATTTCTGAGTTATGTTGAAACGCAGCGTTTCGTTATTGTAATCTGGGTGGGCTTAAGCAATAGTTGATACTCACACCCCCTTTTTGGGCCCAAACCTGAAATGAACTGAATTCATTTGCTATCCACACCACGCGCATGTTTATTTTCTTTGGATTTATCATTTTATTTTTCATTTCATACATGGTTATTGGAAAATTCATAAAAAAATGGAAAAATAACTCAATTAATTCCATTCTTTTTGCTATGGATTCATGATTGAATCTAGTATTTTTTAGATAAAAAAATATTAATATTCCATGCATTTTCTGATTTTATGGGCATTTTTACATTTTAATTGACATTAAAATAATCATGGTTGATGCTTGATTTTGTTGATTTTGGTTTGATCATGTGATGATGATTTTGGCCTTGATTTTTTGTGTGTAGCTAGCATAGATATGCATTATCCCCCTAGATTTTTCTCACATTTTTGTGATGAATGTAAGTGGTAGTTCTAGGTTGAAACTTTAAGAGCTCCATTTTTTAGGGTTTATGGTTGATACCTTGTGGTTTAGATTTTATTTTTAGAACTTGGTGGATGATTCAACCTCTGATTTTTGTATGGTAGATTCATGACTGAATTAGGATCCCTTAAGAATTGTTTTAGGAATTTTCAATGTAGTTTACTATTTTTGTTTGATTTTAGTTTAGGTGCTAACTTTAGATGATTCTAGGGCACTAACTCAACTAGAATGACTTCTTTAGTTCCCTTAGATTAGGGTTGTGTCTCTCTTGCTCTTGGATAAGGTTTAAG